GAGGTGTTTATGTGTGTATAAATGTGTATAAGTGTGTCTCTAAGTGTGAATCTGAATGTGCAGTTTTGTGAGTGTGTGGGAATGTGGGTGTGTAGGGTGAGTTGGTGTGTGGGAGCATATGTATGTGAGTGTGTGTGAATGGGTGAGTGTACTCTAGGTTTTGTGTGTGAGATTGATGCATAGGCATATGAATGGTATGTGTATGATTTGTCAGTGTGTGTAAGTGTGTGTGTGTGGGTGTGAGAGAGTAGGGGTGTAGCTGTGTCTTAAGTGTAGGTGTGTGAGTGTGGTTGTGTACGTGTGAATGAGTATGCATGTGAGAGTGTGTGTAAGTCTGTTTAAATGTGTGTGTGAGTGAGTGTGTGTAGGTGTGAATTAACATGTGTGTGAATGTATAAGTGTGAATGAGTGTGTAAGTTTGAATGAGTGTGCGTGACTATGCATAGACGTGAATGAGAGTGTGTGTGTGTGTGCGTATGTATAGTTGTGAATGAGTGTGTGTGTACACGAATGTATGAGTATGTGTAGGTGTGAATGAGTGTGTGTGGGTCATGAATGAGTGTGTGTATATGAGTGTAGGCATATGTGTAGGTGTGAATGAGTGTGTGTTGTGAGTGTATAGGTGCGATAAGTGTGTGTAGGTGTGAATGAGTGTGTGTGTGTCCGTGTATGTTGGTGGAACAGCTTGTTAGTTTCTGGGTGAGTCGGTTTGACAAGGCATTAGAGATCTCTCAGTGCACACCCTCTGACAGCCCACACACCCTGGGAAACAGAACTAGCAGCTCAGAAACAGTTTGGCTTCCCCGAGATTCACAAAGCTCGCTGCCTACTTCTCTCCCTGCTGCTGGAGGGGAGGGTCACAATCCGGTGTCTACTGAAGGCACAGCAGTGCATCCATGAGGCTGGAAAGTACGTGGATCGAATATTTTTGGATGTGGTCACCGTGAAGGAAGCTTCCTTCACAGATGCTGCCAGACCTGCTGAGCTTTTCCAGCAACTTTGTTTTTGTTCCTGAAGGAAGTGCAGTCAGAGAGTGAATGGCTGACGGTCAGTCAGAAGCAGGGAAGCAAGTAAGTCATCAGAAAAGCCCTGGGACCAGGGTCAGGGAATTCACTGATTGGATGCAGGGCATTCTTGAAGGAGGAGTGCAAACAGTCAGAGATTGTGGACCAATGACAAAGATGGATAAAGGAATGAGGTCCTGCAACAGATGTTAAAAAAAAGCAGGACCTCAAAGGTTGTACACTCTGGATTACAGCCAGTATCACGTGCTTGTGAATATTCGAACGGGTGGATGGAGGTGATGAATGTGTGGCCGAATAGTTGGAGCAGGCTTTCGTTTCCTGGATCACTCGATCCGTTTCTGAGGAAGATGGAATCTGGACAAGGCCAACAGGTTGCACTTGAACTGAAATCCCGCTTTGGGGCTTAGGGGTTTAAATTAATTTTGTAGGTGGTGGGGGGGGGGGGGGGGTGTGGGGAATGAGATACAGAGCGGAGGTGCAGTAGGGAATGATGCACAGACAAATACAGATGCAGAACCAAGTCAGTCTAGAAGGTAGTGTGCATATAGTTAAGGCACAATTTTAATGCAACCAATTTCGTAAGGCCAATGAATTGAGGGCTTTGATTAATGCATGGGCTGCCATATAATTGCTATCACTGAGACATTGTCGAGGGAGAGACAGGACTAGCAGCTCCATATTCTGAGTTATAGAATCTTTCAGTGAGATGGGCGGAGTGTGTAAAAGAGGAGATATGTTGCAATATTGAACTAGGAGTCGAATACTGCGCTAAGGAGGAATGATATCTCAAAAGGTTCCTTAAATGAAGCCATATAGTTAGAACATAAAAAACAAATGGGAGCAATCATTTTGTAGGAGGGTGTGGTATAGACGGACAAACAGCCAGGGACAGATAGAAAGACAGAAATGTAAAAATAATAGGGCAATGCTAGTAGAGATTTCAACTTCCCAATATTAACTAGAATGGCGAAAGTGTGAAAAGCTTAGAGGGGGTGGAATTCTTAAAATATGTTCAGGAGAGCAGTTTAAAACAGCACGTAATGAGTCCTACGGGGTGGGGGTGGGGGTGCTGCGGTTGGGAGCTGGTGCTAGCGCTGGATCTAATTTGGGGGAATGAAGCTGAGAAAGTGGGAGATGTGGCCGTGGGGGAGCATTTCCTGATAATGACAGAAAGATGGAAGATAATTATGGACAAGGATAAAGATGGACCAGCACTGAAAGTTATGAATTGGGGGATGGCTGGCTTCATTCAGTTAAGACTGGATCTGGCTAAAGTGGACTGGGAACAGTCAGCTACAGGAAAATCACATCAGAGCATTCTAAATGGGAACAAGTGAGAATGCAGAGTCAACATATTCCTGGAATGGTGAAGTCTAGGGAACCCTGGATCTAAAGGCATGTCCAGGACTGGATAAGAACACAGAAAGAAGCTTATGGTAGATACCAAAAACTCAACAACAGATACTCAAGAGGAATATAGAAAGTGTGGGTGGTTACTCAACAAAAGATTAGGACAGTGAAGAGATGACATGAAAATACACTGGAGAGTAACATGAAGTAAAGTCCAGAAATATTTTATAAACATATTATCGGGAAGAGAATAACCAGGGAAACAGCAGGCCTTATTTGAGACTGAAGTGGCATTGTGTGTGTCTAGAAATCAGGGAGGGAGAGCTGTGATATATATATAAATAAATCAGTTTCAAGATGGAGAAGGTATTCCCTGTTTTAGTAGGATTGAAAGTGGATGAGTTCCTAGGACCAGGTGAGGTATATCCCAGGCTGCAGTAACAGGTGAGAGAGGAGATTGTAGAAACTGACATTAAAGTTCAAATCCTCTCTGACCATGGGAGAGGTACCAGAGGACTGGAGGGCGGTTAATGTGGTACCATTTTTTATTCATTCACAGGACCAGGGTATCACTAGCTAGGCAGCATTTATTGCCCATCCCTGATTGCCCAGAGGACAGTTAAGAGTCAACCACATTGCTGTGGGTCTGGAGTCACATCTAGGCCAGAGGGTAAGGATGGCAGTTTCCTTCCCTAAAGGATCATTATTCAAGAAGGGTGCGAGGGATAAACCAGGAAACCCCAGGCCAGTCAGTCTAACATGTCCTCTGTATCCCTGTTCGCTTTCTTAACAAAGCCTTGATGTGTCAGAGACTGGCAGCTTCACTGTTCCAGTCAATCCCCACCCCATACACCGGCCACCCTCAATGATGCTAAACTCTCATCTCAGCCCCGCATGGTATCCCGGTAGGATGGAATCCCAGAGTCTCTAACAAGAATTCCCAGCACCCATAGGAGAACGCCTCGCATTAACGGGCCGCTCGAACACACACATTCCGTCAATAAATCTGTGATGGGGTCCATTCTCGGGAGGAGGACGACACTGGGAGAGTGTTCCTCTCTCAATCCAACTCTCCGTTTCAGACATACACAACATCGTCAAGCAGGGAGCGCGTTTCATTTGCCTTTTAAGGTTAACCGAGCAAACTGGGGATTTTGTAACGATAGCTTAGCGGACCCGTCGTTTTAATGTCCCTTTAGTTTGACTCCTGGCTGTGGAACGTAGGCGACAGAGCGATAGCGATGTAACCTGCTTATCAATAAAGGGTTCTCATTTCACACTGTAGAACAGCTCCATGCACGCAGCTCCCCGTATACTTCAGGCTCTGCTCTGAGCTGCAACTCCAAATGTAAATGTTTCATGCTCTGTTTTCAATGTTTCCGTTTCACTTTATTATCATTTTCGAAAAAAAACTAAATGTGTTTACTGAGCATTGGAACTGACAGTTTTCTGTCTAAATCCCAGACACACGTGTCAAAACATTGATATCTGATCCTACTGATCTTCACACACGCGTGTGGCAATCTTCATTCACACATCATCATATCAGACACACTTCCACAGCAATCTTCATGACACATTCCAACCCCCCCCCACACACACTCTAAACAACCCCCACACCCCTCCCTCTTTACAGAAACCAATATTTCCCAAACCCCTCCTCACTCTAACTCCAGAAGTCCCCAGTCGCCCGTTAAAATCCGTCGCGGTGAGAAATTATACACATGTACTACCTCCCCGCAAGCTCCTGATATTTTCCCCCTCTGTTTCCAGGGATAATTAATAACGAGATTTGGAATCAGAATGCGGGCCACACACAATAGATAATATGCATTAAACATATCTCACACTCGCACCTTAACATAAAGTAACGATTAAAGTATGAAATCTTTAGTGCGAGCCGCGCGCTACTTATTTTAAAGAAAGATTTTTTTGGGGAAAAAAACCCTATTCCAACGCAGGAGAATTTTAATTGGAGAGGTTGTCGTGTTCGATAAAGTGTAAATTCTAAAACACTGCGATACTGGGAATTTAAAAATAATGCAAAGTGGAGATATTCAGTAGATCTGGCAGTGTGTATGTAGAGAGAGAGAGAGAGTTAATGTGGCAGGGTCAGAGAAGTTTATTTTTAATCAGAGAGACGGAGAGAATTTCACCTCCTGATAATCAGTTCCTGAACTGAACACCTCACCGTTTCCCCACCGACGCTACAAAAACCATGAAGCACCTTATTGCCTTTGTTTCAATTGTTCTGTGACAGAGCTCCCTCTACAATCCGCACAGGTAAGGACCCGAGAGGGGAGGCGAGAACAGACATTCTCCCTTCCCCCACCCCCAATACCCCCTCCTCCTCCTCACTGACCACCACTACCCCCACCCCCACCCCCACCCCCAACCCCCATCCAAGGGCTCTGAAAAGCCCGGGTCCGGACGCTGGGACAATGACATTAAATACATTCTCTCCCTCCCTGGTTCCCAGGTAAGCTGTCCAATGGGAGGGTGAGCACCAAGTCTACAGCCACGTATTAACAGATTTTAGCAGCCTCCCTCCAACTAGCCCTCCTCCCTGCTCCACCTCCTCCTCCTCTCCTCTCTCAAGAGCAGTGCGTGTGAGAGGCAGGGACACAGACACAGTATAAGCTGCACTTGGAATGAGACTGAGTAATTTTACCTGGGAGCTGAGTACACGCTTTGAATTGTACTGTCCCTAAATCTGCCAGGCTCAGCCGGCCTTACAAAATAAGACTTAAAATAGGACAAATTAAACCTCACCTGGTTATTTTAAACAAAACGTTAGCTCCAAAGCCCCCTTCCCCCAGGATGTTCCACTCAGCCAGCAAGCGGTGTTTCACCATCGAGTCTCTGGTAGCGAAGGATAACAGCCCCTTGTCGCCCCCGGAGGAGCCTCTCCGACCCACCGCTGTCACCTACTCGCCCTCGGCCGATGCCTTCGCCAGCAGTTTCCAGACGGGAGGCCGCTCCTTGTACTCGGGACCCGAGCTGATGTTCCAGGAGGCGGTCAGTCATACTCCGCTGCCCGTTCACCCTCACCAGCTCGGAGCTCACCACCTGCAGAACCCGCACCCTTTCTTCACCCCCCAGCACAGGGACCCTCTCAACTTCTACCCCTGGGTCCTCAGGAACCGGTTCTTCGGACACAGATTCCAAGGTAAGCGGAAGATTCAGGTAAATTATCATTCCGTGTCTAAAGACATGACCATCTCCCGTTTGTAGACAGAGCCCGAAAAACTCGTTATGTACTGGCTCGATGTGAATGTATGGAAATTGCTTATGAGGGGCAACGAAACATATACAGAAACCACATGTAGCTTAAAAATAGAATGTATATCTTGTTCAATGTATAATCACCGCATTAGTTCATAACGATGAATATTCTACAGCTAAGATAACGAATAAAAATTGTATCTTCTCGGTATAATTGCCAGTTAGTTTGCATTTCAGAATTTCTAAATTAATCTCAATAATTGCAACAAATGTTATTAATAAAAACGTTCATATTAATAATCCGGTTAAAATATCCAGTGGGTTTAAATATCCGCAGGAGTATATGAGTTTGTACAGGTCAGTATTGTGGAAAGATACTGTTTATTTGGGAATATATTTGAACTGTCAGGTAATTTGTACAATTCAGTGTCTCCCGTGCTAAAATCGTAGAGTAATTTTCACAATTCAGTGTCTCTTAGAGTAAATAAGAACATTTCGGATTGAGAAAGGTAAAGCGAATACCGGGGACAATAGACGCAAAATAAAATAATTGTTCGATTTTCTTTTCAAAATGAGAGTAACGATTAATGCTATTGTTTTCATTTGGAAAAAAAAATAACCCGTGCAACCACACAATAAAGAAAGGGGTTAACAGCGTTTTCAGATTTCAGTTCTTACTTCACAGGTTAAATGAATTTAAACTCGTTAGCTTCGATATAAAGGACCGGGCAGATAAAGTGAATCCGATAGCGAGAGAATAGTCTGTGCTTTATTTGAGTCTTATTTTCGAATCAAGGGTCAGACTGAGGTTTATCCATTAAATGTCTCGAGTAAAGATTAGAGGCAGCTTTTGAGGAACTGAGTGTCTGTTAGAAACTTCCTCCAAACGAGGGGTCAAGCGCCAGAGTTTAGCGAAAGGGCCATCTCCGAGCCCCAAAACTGAAAGAAAAATCTCTGCTTCCAGCCAAATGTAGGATAAAAAAACGGGGTCGATTCAGGAGTAAGGGCTAATTCTAACACACATTCAGCCCAGTTCAAGAGAAAGGGACTGACTACATCTCAGTGCTATCTCTCAGCTGTACCTTCACACCGTTTGACAGTGAGACATCGCCTTTCACAAGCCAAGCCCTCATTCACCAGGCTTCACTCGTTCCAGCAGAAAAGGCTGTGCATTTTGGGGCTGCTTTGAAAACTCCCAGCCTGAGCTTTCATTGTGTTTTTTTCGGGGTAATACAGAATACAGACCGGAAAGGCACAAATAAAACGAGACGTTAAATCCAGCTAGCAGTAACAGGCTAGAGGGGCCGAGTGGCCCCTCTTGCTCTGTTTATTTTAACGATGGACCCTTTTGAGCAACAAAAGTATCACTTTTTAACAATTAGATATAACGTTTAACCTAAACGGAATTAAAAGCGAAAAACAATTTGCGCGTGTTCCTTCAGAATATTATCGATCAGTGACGGGAACGGGCTGCGGCCGGTGGGTGAAGGAAGACTTAACGGGACAGCTGTGTTAACCCACTGGTTAGTTGGCTTTGTTTTTGTAGTAATTTTTGGGAGAGAAGCAGCAGAATGCAGTGTGTCCGCGCTGTTATACCTGCCACACAGGCAACATATACAGCAGCTCATCTGTAATACATATCACCGCACTGTACACAACAAACAAAACAAATCAAAACCCCAAACATGGTCCAGTTTTATCTCCCCGTCCTTTGTATATTTTTTTTAAAACAAAAAGCCTATTTCACTTCCATTTAATTTTAGCTCCCGCAGTTTATCAAGTTCATTTCGGTTTTTCTCAGCTCTGCATTGGGTTTGTTAATTCGCGTGTTCACTTTCAATGCATTTCATTTGCGTCCCAGCTAATTCTCAGAAGCGGCGAATGCGAAGCCAGATTGGACAATCCCAAATTGCTCCGTTTGAACACCTCAAAAAAATTAAACAAATCCCCCTTTTAAAGTTACTCGAACTTTTAAAATGTTGAACGGCCGCTTCAGGGACCTTTCTCTCTGTCTCTTTCACACACGCAAATCAAACAAAGTGATTGAGAGGGGAGGACGTACTTGATATGCAGAGAGAATAGAAACAGTGCTGTCAATTCAGCCCCACTTGTTTGTATATAACAAACGAAAACCGACAGATTTTGTTCTGGGTAGGCCGTTTTAAACTCGGCCCCGTTCAGTCCTCGCTTATCACCGCTTATTTCCCTTCGTAAAATAAAAATGAGACTGACCCAGAATCGGTGGAGAGGTGTGGAGAGAGAGGTGATGATGATAGAGGGATTTGCAGGGTTTAAAGGAACCGAGAGAGATACCGTGAGAGGGGCTTGGTGGGGAACGGGCTGAAGAGGGTCTGTCACAGATTGGGGACCGATAGCAAAACGGAGGTAAAGCAAGGGAGAGATGGAATGTGAGAGAACGCGTGGGAGAAGGAGAGAGGAAGAAGGAACGAGTGAACGAAATACCGCGGGAGAACGACAGGAGAGAGATGGGAGATAGAGGGAGCGAGAAAGAGGGGAAGAAAGAAGTACAGAATAATAATGGCAACAACGAAAGGGAAAAGAAAGGAGGCAAAACAGAAGAAAACAAGGAAGGAAAAACAGAGACAGAGAGATAAATGACGCATACGACTAACCCATCAGGAAATCTCGTTTAGAAATAACATCGAACTAAAATGATGTTTTTGAGTTCGGAATCCCACAGTGTTTGAACCAGTCCTTACCCGTGATGAAAGGATTTTTTTTGGTGTTGAACTGAGTTGGAAATATGAAATACAAGAGGGAAGGCAGTGTTCAGATCATGAAAGCGTGTCCCTGTCGGAGAGAAAACACCCAGATTAGTTAAACCCTCAGTCCCTGGCTTCGGGTTATTCTCTAATGGGGGGACACGGGGATGCTGTGTTACAGACTCGAACCCAATGAACCACGGATGCTGGAAATCAGAAAGAATAAAAAACATAGAAATTACCGGAGAAACTCAGCAGGTCTGGCAGAATTTGCAGAGAGAGAGAGAGAAAAAAACTCAATATTTCGTCTTCAGAAATGTTGTGTTGATGTTCTTGCGGGTTCACAGTGAGGAGAGGACGTTCCTGGACTGTACTCGCTTTTCTCAATCGACCAGGGAATGGAAGATGTGAGATGCAGCACCCCCAGACTCAGAGACCTCATCCCCCTTCTCCCCAGCCCCTCACTTTAACCCCATTTTGCTGCGACAGGGATGCGGAGGTCTCTGGCGGGACGCCCTGTTACCGAGAGTCAACTGGATATTTCATTAAAGCCACATAAACTGTTCACTATCCTACACCTACACGCGGCTGCACAGACACACACACAGGGGTCAAATTTAAGACCGAGCAACAATGGAGTAGGTCCTTCGGCTTTTAGGATCTACTATCCCATTCCATTAAATTCTGGCATATTACCCGTCCAGATTCCAGAACTTTGAGTGAGCTGAAACTGTGGATTTCTATATTCAAGGATATGGGGTTTGTACGAATTCGATAATTCCTAAAGTTTACCAGCCTCTGGGATGTTACCCGTCCAGATTCCCGAGCTTTTAGTGGGCAGAAATCTGTGGGTTTTTATATTCAAGCATTGAGCTTCCACTGGATACAGAATTCCCAAGATTTACCAGCCTCTGAGTAAAGGAGTCCCTCATTCTCCCGGCTCCTAACTGAGAGGTTCCCCAGCCCAGATGCACTGGTTTCAATGAGATCCGGCTGCATATCTTCCGCAAAACTAGCTCTATCTAAACGCTAACTCCCTCTCTTACACAGAAAAGGAAGCCTAGTGAATCTTTGTTACGCACTGGACTAGCAACTACCCCGCAGCAAAACAGTGTCCCGCTCATTGTGGGACACGATAGGTTTTCCACATAATACAATTCCTTCCTCTGACAGAGGTTAAACAGCGGGTGAAACCGGTTTAAAACATGTGTAAATATGATATTGTGTGAGCATAAATCTACAATGTTAAATTAAACTGAATTGGTGTTTCTAAAGAGAGAAATTCCTGATTTTTTTTGTTAACAGCAGTTTGAAGGGACCGGATGGAACTGGGTCACAGTCAATTGCAGACCGTAATTCTCCCCGTAAAACTGACACACTCCTATCCCCATGTCAGCCCGGCCACAAAAAGGAGAGCTCTTTAATTTGCAAAGGCCGCTAAGTTATAATTTAAGCGGAGCTTTAAGGGAATTCTTGATCGCTGTGCGATTGGACTGAGATTCATAACTGAGACAAAAATAAAGGCAAGCGCAAAAAATAAAGATAAAGTCGGAATTAAAATCAGGGAGAAAGGAAGAGTGGAAAAAGGGGGAAAATTCAAACAGTAAATAAAACTTCGGAAGAAACAAAGATTTAAAAAAAGATCCGAAGATCAATGATAGTAGGAACTGCAGATGCTGGAGAATCTGAGATAACAAGGTGTAGAGCTGGATGAACACAGCAGGCCAAGCAGCATCAGAGGAGCAGGAAGGCTGATGTTTCGGGCCTAGACCCTTCTTCAGAAGAAGGCCCTTCCTGCTCCTCTGATGCTGCTTGGCCTGCTGTGTTCATCCAGCT